GCCTTTTTGGCCTTTTGTTATGTGGATTTTTGGATGCAAGACCTCAAGATCACAACGTACAGCTTGTGGACTAAAGGAATAGTTTGGCCAAAAAGTGAAAATTCTGTCATTATTTACTAACCGTCATGCTGTACCAAACTAGTTTGCTGTTATTTTTCCATTGAATACAAAAATGTAAAATACTGAAGTCTCGATATGCAACAACAGCTCCAAACAGACAAAAAACACCAATTAAGCACCATAAAACATTCCATATAGCAACACCATATAGTTTAAAATGATACAAGTGTGAAGACAGAATTTTCATTTTTGCAACCCAGGCTCATTGCAAAGACGTGTGGTGATATTTGTGCAAAGTGATATTATGCAAAATAACATAACACTTACAAGGTGAAATATCCAGTGAGTGACACTAAAACTGCGTTCAGTTTTATTTAAAGGGCAATACACAAAATAATGTTCTTTTTAGCAGCATCATATGACCCCTTTAAAACAGATTAACGTAAACCTGGCAACATTTTATAATGCTGGTTGTTGTTACTATCATGGCAGTTCGGAAATAAACTGTCTGGTGAGTGGCGCTAAAAGCCACTATATATGCTGAATGATATGCTCGATCACGTTTAAAAATAAAAACGTACCACCTACAGTAAATTGACGGTTTAACAAAAGCAAACGTCAGGTAAAAACACATTGGCGTGATTTCAAATATCAACATTGGCTACCAGAAATCGCTTACTCTGCCTTTAAGCAACCATGCCATTTTAGCTTGCTTCTACAAGTCTTTGAGTTCTTTTATCATGTCTTGTGTTTCACAGGACTCATACCAGAGCACTCCGTGTTGCAAGTGCAACGCCATACCAGGTGCGCCACTGAGCAAGTTTACTATGTTAGAAAAGCTGGTTATGCGATGCAAATGCACTAAGTGTTTTCAGATCATAACAGTTGTTGGTGTTTTACTTCCTCTAGTGTTCATTTCATTTAGGTACTGCGGTGAAATGCATGGATACAACAGGAACATTTTTGGAGTTTCACAAAAATATAGCCGACGTGTTTTTCCAATGAGCCTACAGCCCTATTCGCACGGGATTAGTATTACCTGGTGACCTCCAGTCATTTGTAATAATTGTGGAGGTTGTCTGTGATCTTAATCCCGTGCGAATCGGCCATGTCTGTAATTTGTAAAGTAAAAATTCCCCCGCAATTGTCCTACCATATTTTGCCGAACACCGAGGTCCTGTGATAATATTAGTCCCGTGCGAATCGGCATCTCTGTGATTCGGCCAGCATTTGGCGGGTCGTATATCATTTTTCGAGGTTTTTGTTTCCTGTGCGCCTTTTTATCCGTCTTCCGTAAAGAATGGAGCTGCGTTGGAGTGTTTGATAGTATTTTGGGTGCTGTCATCATATCGCTACACCATACAATTTGCAGAAAGAGAAAGCTGAAAAGGTTTTGAGGTTAATGTGTTACAAATAAATCAAGCACAAAGCTTGAGATATTATTTTAACCTGGTGAAATGTAAATGACACAGGGCACGAAACTATATTAGTTTCTTTTTTTTAAATCCATCTGGACCATAGAACGGGACTCTCAAAGCCTTGACATCCGGGTATCCGGGAGACATTACCTTGTGTAATTTCAAAATCACACAAGGTCCCCAGATAATACTAATCCAGTGCGAATAGGTCTTATGTTGCATTTTTGAGCGAACTACTCCTTTAACTCCGTTTTTTGATTCAAGGAGTATTGACCTTCACTTATAAGGTAAACATGTGTCTGCTTTTCCTCTTCCCAGCCCCAGCTGCCCACTTATTTTGACATGAGCAGTTCCTGTGCAGTTCCACATAAGATTGGGCTGCTTTATGTTGAAGACAATGAGGAAATGACCTAGCATGTGTGCATCTGAGGACATACAGATACAGGCTCTCCTGATGAAACCGAGAAAGAAGGAAGGAGAAAGAGCGAGCGGGAGAGTGAGAGTGAGATGACATCATGGCAAAATTAAATAGGAGGATGGAGAAGTCCTGTAATGCAACACTGTAGATAGACATGAGACAGCTGTATTTATGAGATCTAGGACTGAAGGCCTTCCCAGCTTTTGTGCAGGACGCATTATCTGCTTTGACAAACCGGAAAGCAACAGTCTCCAATGTTCAGCCACCAAAGAAAAGGATGTGAGGACTCCACATGTCCAACGGTGGTCTCCAGTTTACAATAATGCAGCAACTGGCTACGCGCAAGCTAATATCACATGAAAGAGGGACAGCAAACAGTTTGTGCACTTTTAATAGGAACAGTTGCATAGACAGCTGTCCAAAACAGAATTAGGAGACAGACGGTGTCTCTGTGGTGTCTTCAAACCCCATTGTGCACAGCTTCTTTAGTTCAATTACAGGTGCATCTCAATAAATTAGAATGACGTGGAAAAGTTAATTTATTTCAGTAATTCAACTCAAATTGTGAAACTCGTGTATTAAATAAATTCAATGCACACAGACTGAAGTAGTTTAAGTCTTTGATTCTTTTAATTGTGATGATTTTGGCTCACATTTAACAAAAACCCACCAATTCACTATCTCAACAAATTAGAATATGGTGACCTAAATGTTCTGCAAAGGTTTCCTGAGCCTTCAAAATGGTCTCTCAGTTTGGTTCACTAGGCTACACAACCATGGGGAAGACTGCTGATCTGACAGCTGTCCAGAAGACAATCATTGACACCCTCCACAAGGAGGGTAAGCCACAAACATTCATTGCCAAAGAAGCTGGCTGTTCACAGAGTGCTGTATCCAAGCATGTTAACAGAAAGTTGAGTGGAAGGAAAAAGTGTAGAAGAAAAAGATACACAACCAACCGAGAGAACCGCAGCCTTATGAGGATTGTCAAGCAAAATCGATTCAAGAATTTGAGTGAACTTCACAAGGAATGGACTAGGGCTGTGCGATTAATCGAAATCGAATCGAAATCGCGATTTGAGACGTTGCG